ACTTCCCTTCTTTGGGATTGGGATGTAGACTGATCTTTTCCAACCCTCTGGCCACTGCTGAGTTTTTCATTGATGATGATAAAAAAAGCACACTGGTCCTTTGATAATGGGCTGTGGCACCAGGGTGAGTGACATGACCTTTAGCCTGGTTTGTTCCTTTTTGCACACCACACATAGAATGATTAAAGTGGTAGGGAAAGCCCACCCCCCAATTCTATGTTGGCTGTCTCTAGCAAGCATGTCATTGCTAGGACCACTCTGGGAGCCACTGATGATGATTAAATCCCCTGCAAGCTAGCAAAAATTTAATGCAACTTGCTAGGCACGTTGGACACCTTACTACTCCCTATACCACACCATGGCTGGAGTGCAATGTGTTCCAGCAAAAATAGTGCACATCTTTATCAAATTTGGTGCATCCTGCTAGTTCGGTACACGGCCTGTGTAGATTCGATAATATTTTTAATTCAAATAATGTATGATTTCCTTCCTTTCGAATCAAGGGGGTAATGTCGGCATATATAAATTTTGGGGGCAGTAAAAAATAAAAAAGTTCCCTGACCCCTGATCTAGTGCATCAACACTGGTGGGGATATTTGATGGATGCTCATCATCCAATGCTTTCTCTACAGAAGGAACATGAAATGTTATGTCCTGCAATATGGATGATGATTAGACATGGGATATTAATATTCATATTGCTGGAGGTACAAATATGAATACCATCACTACAGGTGCCTGGGAAGTCTGGTCCCTCCCAGAACTGGCAGATCCAATTACTGGCTGCCTTGCAACACACACAGCCAGCATCATTCTTGTCGCACCAACAATGGAAGTAGACTGCAGCAATCGCTGAGAAGTCCTTCAGGACTTCAGAAGGCGCACACGCTCCTTGCCAGACACCCTGGATGGGACTGAGACCTTGGTTGAAGGATCACGATACTTGTTTGGTGAGGGTGGGGAGCCCAGGTTATTTAAGGGCTTTCCACCCTCACATTGCCCTCTCTGTTTCCGGGCACCCACCCTCCCTAGTGTGAGTGTTTTGGTCGCCTTTCAGGGGCTGGATAGGAATTTCTGACCTTCATCCTGATTGGCTTTTGGATGGGGGAATATTTTGCCTATCCCACACTGGAATAGGGTTGTTGGTAAATTGGTGGTACATATTTTGGTCACACGGGCGGGTAGTGTGGAACGTTGGTAAATTGGTGGTACATATTTTAGTCACACGGGCGGGTAGTGAGGAAATAACAGGTATTTTCGGTGTGTCCCAACTGTAACATCATATAAGCTAACAGCGCATCCAACCTCCCGGCACTGTGGATCGTGTGATTACAGTGCCTGTGGTGGGAAGATGCGCTGGGCCACTTCTGGACCAATGGTCATCAGCTAAAGATGGCTTGAGGTCTGGGGGTGTGTGTGTTTCATTAGCAGCTGGCCAGGTTCCTGCTGTCTGGGGACTGCTGGTACTTGGAGCCAGGGACTCACCCATTTATTGGCCAAGGGGTATCAATATACCCCTGCCTTCCACCTGTTTCCGCACTACTGCAGGCCCCCTCTTTTCCTAAAGATAGCAAATCTTACAGTCGGATAATTTTAATAAAGTGTGGCCCATATTTAATACACATCATTGTCTCGTGTCTTTATCCTGGGGTTGGGATGGCAATGGCCTGTGCTTCCCTGCCTCCCCACAGAGCCGCCCACTCAACAGCTGAGCAGGCAGATTTGTCATCCTGCCTCCTCACTGGGGTGGTTGGTTGTACAAGGAGAGTTTTAGAAAATTCCTCTTTGACCAATACTGCTGGGGATTAGCACTACACAGAGTCAGTTACTGACGACGCAATAGAAAGAAAGTCATTCTGGCTTTAAAAAAATCTTTTAAATGGTATCCTTGGCGACTGACACTTTGCCTGGCTGTTCTGGTCCTCACTTAGACATGTTCAAGTCTGGATCTTTCACCTATCCTTTTTCGCTTAGGTTTCTCTTTGACACACTTTTCTCCCCTTGCCTTCTGGCTATCACTTGTGCTCTGGCCATTGTAAGAATGCCTTACTGAGCCTTGTGGTGATGTGGTTAAACTGCAGTCCTACAGCTAAAACTTTGCTCACAACCAGGGTTCAATCCCAGGCAGTCAGCTAGAGGTTCACTCATCCCTCTATCTTTCTGAGGTCAGTAAATTGTGTACCAAGCTTGCTGGGGGGTGGGATGTGTAGCCTGCTTCAAGTGGAGGCACATGACACAGTGGTTAAACTGCTGTACTGCAGCCAAAACTGTGCTCATGACCTGGGGTTCAATCCCGGGTAGCTGGCTCAAGGTTGGCTCAGCCTTCTATCCTTCCGAGGCCGGTAAAATGAGTACCCAGCTCACTGGAGGGGGGGGTGGGCAATGTGTAACCTGCATAATTGACCTTTACCTCCCAGAAAGTGCTTTAAGTGCTATGGGGTGGTATATAAGCAACATGCTTTGCTTTGCTTTCAAGTGCTGTGGCATGATATATAAGCAGCACATTTTGCTTTTACTGCTCCAGGTGTACAGGAATATTCCTATGTAATTGGGTAGTTCCAAATGTACTCTCTCTTGAGCAAAGATTTCCCTTGAGTAGGCAGTGTTGTGATCATGGTTTAAAACATGAAGTTTGCCCATTCATTAGCACATCTCTTGCAAAGGCATCCATACTGGCTATTCTGCATACTTATCTTGCCTCCTATAACCCATCCATAGTCATGTCTTTGCACATAAGGGATATCAAGTGGACCGCTCTACTATTCGCAAACATTTTGGATTTTCTGTGTGTCTCTGCCAAGCAGAAGGAAGATGAGAGCATCTTGGGGCTTAGGGGAATGTGGTCATCTGTAGCATCCAGATATGGAACGTTTAGTAAAAAATCTGGTGAAATAATTACTTTTTAAAAAATAACTGATTGTGTTCTATCAGTATCTGGAGGAGTAGCCTGATGCTGCTAATTGCAGGTCGTACCATCTAGCTGTCTGTCTCCTTCCACCTGTTTTTTGTCCCTGTGTACAGACAGTTATCTTCATGTACATCAAAGAAATTAAAGAACTATGATTCAGTCTGAGATCTGATCATCTGTAATAGCATACAACTTCACTACCTTTACAGATTGCTCTTTTGAAAACACTTTAACTCCAACTGCTCCTTCTTTCATGATTACCATTTTTTGCTGTTGAGAAACATGCACCCATATGGCTTTCACTTACAAAGGTAATGAAGAGACTATGTTTTCCAAAGTGCAGTGGCTGAATGGCTGAAGAGAGCAGAATCAAACTGAGGACACCTTCAGGGACAACCAATCACACAAAGCAATAAAAAAGCAGGCCTGATTAGTTGATAACAGATCTGTACAAGAAGGGTGAGACAGCTACAGAGGAAAATCTGAGACACTTAACACATCATATAATGCCACATGTTCACATATTTGAACAAACACCATCTGTGCTGTATAAATCATCATTTGGCTAAAAGCCAAGCAAGGCAAAACAATGATGAGAAGGTTAATGCAATGTCTTGTTAGATGTTATGTTTATTATTTTTATAATTAGATAACATACAAAGCTACAAGGTGGACATAGGAGATTTACATTTTATACTCACCATTCTCAGCAAGTATTTCAGGGGCAACATAAGTTGGAGTTCCACACACAGTGAATATGGGTTTTGTCACCCTCTTTGCAAGGCCAAAATCTGCTAGTTTGAGCGTGGTTGTTTTATCTGTATTACGTTGGACCTGCACAAAACACCAAAATATTGATCAAGTTGCATGTTTGCAGTATACGGAAACAAACAGCTTAAACTTAACATAAGTGCAAGAAAAAATGGAATACTAAAAGAATGCAAAAGCTGAATCTAGGGTGGTTGTCTGTGCTTGCTCATGACATTTAGTATATCCCACTTTTCTTCCAAGGAGCTCAAAGCAGCACACATGGCTTTCCTCCTTCCCATCTTGTCTTCACAACAACCCTGTGAGATAAACCAGACTGAGATACTGTGGCTGACTGAACATCAGCCAGTGGGTTCCATGGCAAAGTGGGGATATGAATCCAAGTCTAGTAAGACCCAATGCAGTACAGTAACCACACTGCCTATGTACTTTATTTTGTAAACCTAGAGTCCACAGATAAAACACACAATTAAAAAGGCTGAAGCTTTTGCTTTTCTCTATCCTTTGCAAGTGGGGTCATGGCCACAGGTCATGGTCAACCTCTGCCTGACGTTGTGCAGAGATTGTTTACAATCAGGTAGACAGTACTTGGCTAGCTAGTACAAACGTATGTTTATGGACATACGTTATTCCCATTACAAGATAATAAAATCTAGGACTCCAGTGAAGTACTGCATATCTAAGTGGCAATTCTCCATCTGTGCAGGGCTTGTTTTATAACTGTTTTAAACTTCAAGCTTGAGAAAACTGCATTTTTCTTTGCTGTATTTCCTTGCAACACAAGATGGCAACACTACATTATTATTTCCAAACGTTGTTAGCTCAGTGTGAAACCAAGAGAACAGATTAAGGCTAGGTTCTTTTGCTATTATTCTTAATCTCTTTTAGCAGATAGATATATTTTCCACTCATCTGTGCTGTATTTGCCAAACAATAGGCACTTCAACACTTCGCCTGTATATTGTAAATTATCCTTAAGTTTATTAATGAAGGCTGTTTGTAAGCTTGGGAGGGGTCTGTGTAGAACTATTATTTTTATACAATAGCCCAGTGTTTTGAAAATTTATGTTTTGAACTATAATTCTCAGAATCTCACCAGCCAGGCTGGCTAGGGAATTCTAGCAGTTGTGGTTCAAAAAGTAACTTTTTCTAAGCTGTAGTAGCATCCTTCTTCGGTTTGATAACTGCTTTCTATCCTCCCCTTCCCAAGCTCTGTTGCCAGTGGATGCTATTAGTAGACCTAATATAGCACATATGTTTGCTTATCACCAAAATAAACCTATGTTGTGGCAGTTATTTAGCATGTTTTGTGAATTGCAGGGTATTTTTAAAATACCGTGTGCAGCAGACTGTTGTGTCACTCAAAAGCCAAGTATTCACAATGCAATTTTAATTTTCAAAATAAGAGGGTTTTTTTCCAGTATAAAATCCTCAACCATTTCAAAATCACAAGTCTAATGAAATGGATTGTGTAATCTATAAAAGCTCACACTGAAAAAAAACCCCGTGAGTCTTTAAAATGCCACAATACTTTTACTTTTATTTTGATTTTCATTTTATTATAATCTAAGATACTAAGAGCAAAGAAGAGCAACAAGAACATGTTTTTAAGTCTGATCAAGAAGATATGTAATATGGAATGCACAGTAGGAAGGAAAAGCCATCTGTGAGGAAAGACCAATAATTCCATTTGGGCATGTTGAGTTTAAGAGGGCAGTAAGATATCCAAGTGGAACTAATCAGGCAGGTAAACCAGATATGCAAGACTAGAACACTATTCAGGCATTACTGAAAGTACAGAAAGTTAGCACTGGAGCTAGAAAAACAGGGATGGGACCACACCAAATAACCCTGCTTTGATATGATGTCACCCATTAATTAATTGTGTGCTGTCAAGCTGACAACTCTCATCAGTACACATAAATGCCATTCTGTTGCAATACAGATTCCTTCAAGGGGGACAGTTAAGGCCACCCTCATTCTAAGAATGGCACTACTTGTCACAGCTTCATCCGATGAGTTCCTCTGCTTTCAAGAACAGCAGAATAGAGCTTTCGCAAAGAGGGAAACTGAGAATATTTAGGTATATTACCCTGTAATTACAAGGACTGCCAAAATAACAACTCTCACTTGTTTTTGCTCTCCTTCCCTACCCCATATCTCCCTGTCTTCAGGGGCTAGTAAAAGCTCACTCTGTTTCCCAATCTGGGGAATTTAAACTTCTGTGTCTCCTCCTTTTTCCTATGCTTTTCATATTCACTACTCACGGGTAGTCACTAGAAAATTTATGTGTTGTACAGGCTAGAGTGCTGGACTGGGATTCTGTAGATTGAGGTTCTAGTCCCCAGCGAGACATGACGTTGGGCTAGTGCCTGTCCTATCCTACCTCACAAGACTGCTGTAAGAACAAAAAAGAAAGAAGGACCATGTATGCTACTCTGGCTTCAGTGGAAGAAAGGCATGATTATAAACATATCTAATTAGAATGCCCTTTTCAGCTATGATTTAACCGTTCAGAGCACCTACAAAGCTTGCGAAAGCTAGTTGAGACTCGGGAGCAATACAGTATCAAAGTCTGCATCTGCCCTCCCTTTTATAACAAAGTCAACAAACAATTACATTTTGCACTCCTTGCTCAAATGTATCATGTAGGATTGTGTATATTTGTGTGTGGGTGCACACACGCACATGCGCCATACAGACTTCTATTTTCAGCCAATGTTTTCTGAGGAACTGAAAATCTGTTATTTATTGTTTACTCTTACTTGAATTTTCAAGCCTGAAAAGATAAAATCAATCTCTAAGAAAGTAGATGAAAGAAGCCCGGCTGCAGATTTGGGACGGGAAATGTGGAAAGAAAAGAACTTCAGCATCACAGAGGTCCCTCAAAAGAAAAACAGAAATGACACAGCAGATATGCAAGATGGCAACACATTTGTTGACTATCTGTTGTATTCATTATATTTTCCATGGCAAAAAAACAGTTCTCTTCTTAAACCTCCATGCCTTCTGGCGACCCTTTTTTTGCCAAAGACCAATTTGTAACAAAATTAAGGAGCCACACAAGATACCTATTGACAGGGAAATATTTGAGTCAGGCTTGTGGAATATGTGGAGCTCCAGATGTTGCTGGACTCAAATATCCATAATCCAACAACACTTTCTATGGCAACTAGCAGTCATGGTGTGGTGGTCTAACAACATCTGGAGCGCCACATGTTCCCATTCATGCCCCACATTAAGCAATAGACATAAGGGACTGAAGTGCTCTGCTCTCACCAATACCTCCTTTACTGCCCATGTGCTACTCAGTATTAAGGAACACTAAATGAGAGGCAGAATAACGCCCCCTGTGGGCTGCTTCACATTAGATGGCCTAAAACATTGAGTCCCCATGCAAACTGTAGAGAGCCACAAAGAGGTTTAGTCATAGGCTTCAAAAAAACCTTGCCTAAATAACTATGGCAAGTACCAGTTATCTGCAGCTGATGAGGCAGAGGGGATTTTTTCAGTCAAGATTGATTTTGGGGCACTTCTATACTCACACAAGCCGCATAGAGTGGTCATATAGACCAGATGGTGGGATACAACTCAAATAAATAAATAAATAAATAAATAAATAAATAAATAAATAAATAAATAAATAAATAAATAAATAAATGATGGCATGCTGAATGAATGAATGAATGAATGAATGATGGCATGCTGTTACTGTGCTGTGTAGCAAATATGTATTTAAATGGGCAGTTGTCCATCTAGATATTCAGAGAATTTCACTTCAGAAACATGTTTTTGGAAATATTTATCATGCCATCCACATTTTACAATGAATAAAGAAAAGGTTAATATTCTACCAGCAAGCTGGCCACTGCCTAGTAGTGTTTTATAACTTGTAGTTCTATGGGGCATTAAAAAAAACAGTTCTACTTTTCTTTATATCTTGAGAAGCTAACATTTAATTCTGTTTTCTATTTATTTTTCCAAAATCCTATTTGCAATTTTTCCCCCAGGTCTGTTCTATATTAGGAAGCCAGAATCCTATTGGCAATGTGCACATGTAAAAGAAATGATGCAAGACTTGGTGAAAAATTTCTGCTCCTTAATGAGGTTCTGGCTGCATTCCTGGGAATGTCCTCAGTTATGAGATTAGGTGCACATCCAGGAGAACCAACAGCAGTTTGTTAATGAGTGGCAATTTGCCTCTAACACCTGTGCAACTTCCATTATGCAAACATACTGTAAATTGTCAATAATTCTGGCCAAACTGTCAAAGATCTTGATTATCAATGCATCCTACAACAATGATAACAACAGCTTCAATCTATTATCAGACACAATATACTTACCAAAAGATTTTCTGGCTTGAGATCTCTATGAACAATGTTCTTGCTGTGAATATAAACCAGAGCCTTGCACAGATCGGTTATCATATGAGCGGCATCATGTTCTGTGAATTTCACACTCTCTATAATGGCATCAAATAGATCCCCACCAGGAACATACTCCAGGATTAGATATATTTCTGCATCTGTTTCAAATACTTCAATCAAGCTAACAATGTTGGGATGAGAAAGGCTCTTGATGATCAAGATTTCATTTTCTAGCATGTCTTCCTTTCCTTTCAATTTGGATTTATCAACAATTTTCATAGCATATGTCTGATTAGAGCTACGGTGGTGGCACTCCATCACAACAGCAAAGTTCCCATCTCCAATAGTTCTGCCGATTTCATAGCACTTCTCCACATCTGTTCTGCTATAGACATCGTGCCTCAGCTTTGTATCACTGGCCCTACGTGCCTTATTTGCCTCTTTGTTAATTTTATGTTCTTCATCCCGTTCACGTCTGATCAGCTCACTCTTACCACGACCCACTTTTTCTTCTCCAATAGTTTTATCCTTCGATTTTCTTACCTCTTCTCTCTTCCCCTGAATTATAGATGGTTTCTCTGCATCCACCTGAGAGCCCTTGATCAACCAACAGCTCTGATTCACTCTAGAACATTTTCTGTGTTCCTTTTTTAGTTCATAGGCATCTCCCACGATGGTTCGCTGACTTTCTATGGGCTTTGTCGTAGCCTTTCCCAGTTCTTCATCATGATTGTCATTACTTTCTAGAGTTTGCTCTCTGTCGACATTACCTTTTTGCTTCTCGGGATCTTTATTCAGATGGCCTTGGGAGGTTGTCCAGCTATTCTGAAAACCAGCATCATTCCATGAATATTCAATGTCTCCCACTGAGCTGTCTGAAAATTTCCTGCAATTTCTTAGTTTTGGAGGCCTTTCCACATTATATCTCTGGCACACTCTCATATTCAAGTCTCTGCTCTCAAATGGAAGAGGCGCTTGTGTCTCCTTCTGCACTTTTTGCCTGAGTTGTCTCTCTCTTTGGCATTTCTCACATCTGACAATCATTTCTGAACTCTTTTCTACTCCACTTTCAGAACATTTCTCTTGGCTAAAATATCGCTCAACTTCCCTAGCTTTTCTGGAAAGCTTCACCTCTTGCTCCCCATTCCAGTTATCTCTGCCCCATTTCTTTTTGGTCTTTACCTTTTCCTCTTGTTTGACCTTGGTCTGAGCTTTTACATCATGCCTGTTAATTACTTTAGGAGACTGGGGATCAATGCAATTCTTAGCAGCTATAGGTTCAAGGCTGTTTTCTGTCTTGGCAGGCTTTTCATGGAGTCTGTTCTTGGGTTTTGGAGGCTGTTCCCAGTTTTGTGTTGTTCCAGTAACTGGAGCATATGGATTCTCAGGAAAAAGTTCTTGGACTGCCACTTCAAGGGTCTTCAGTGTTAGCTGTTCCTTTCCCATAGCTATAAATGCATCTCCTTCTCTAAAAAATTCAGACACACTTCGAATTTCCTTTCCTTTCAAATTATATAGTTTTCGCACACGGTCATTCTTCCAACGAGGAAATCCCAGGGCTTCAGAGATGTCAGCAATTAGTTGCTCAAATGTCTGAACAGACCGCCGATTTAGAAGCAAGGTGATCTTCCTCACTGTGTGTCCACAGGGTTTTACCACAGTGACAATCCTTGGCTTTACTGGGCTATTCTCAGAATGGATTGTGTGGAAGCCAGTCCGGGAATGTATGAATGGGGAACTGAAACAGTTTGTACCAAAGAAGGGTTTTCCAAAACTGCCACGGCCAATTGGTGGACAAGTACCTTGAAATCTTCTCTCAGTTAGATTTGAGCTTATACAGTTTAAAGAATGGTCAAAAAATCCTCGAGGTTCTAAAGAAAAAAGAAAAAGAAAAAGTAAATCAGATGGAGAGTTTTTCCTCTGATAACCATGAATTAATAAAGAATATTTTTTTTTGGATATTCTGGATTCCACAAATGCAAAGACCATTCAAAATAAGTTTTATTAATGTGACTGTAAATTATATTTCCTGGTGTCTGTCAGGCTAAGTCTTGACGACTGGATAGCTCAGATGAGGTTGGAAGTTTAATTCCCCACTGCGCTTCGTTGAAAGGGGCTGGACTCGGTGAACCACAGGATCCCGTCCAGCTCTGCAGTTCTACGATTACCTTTCTATAGCATTCATTAAAAATGCTTTCTGGAAAGGGAGCAAAAATGCAATAAACTACTAAATGCACAGCATTTTTTTAAAAACAACAACAACAACAGGGGATTTCAACAAATAAAGGATTTAGCTGTGGCTATCTGAGGCTGCTGTCCTAAGATGGCTGAGGGATCACTGAGCAGATACTAAACCAGGTGAGGCTGAGCTGAATTCTAATCATCCCCAGCCTGAAGATGGTGGCCTAACTTTGTACCAATTTAGTAGATGTGAGTCTGGGCTGACAGAAGTTTGGAGGTGGTATACTTTCTTCTCACATGTGTTTAAGTATACACATCTGAGATCAACTAGCATATGGGGGTGGCGGCGACACAAGGGTTTCCCCCACACACATTCCAAACCGACTAAATGCAGCATGTCTTTGACTTTGGATTGCACTATTAAAACGCTCTTAGAGATTTAGTGGTTGCTAACTGGGGCAGGAAATAAACTTTTTTTGTTCTGCTAAAAAGCCTGTGTCAGCTTTATCTCATTCCTCTGCTAGGTTCTTGCAGTCATTATTGCCACTTCCCCGGTAGACTTCTCATTAGTGGTTGCTAACTGGTGCAGGAAATAAACTTTTTGTTCTGCTAAAAAGCCTGTATCAGCTTTATCTCATTTCCTCTGCTAGGTTCTTGCAGCCATTATTGCCACTTCCCCGGTAGACTTCTCTTGGGCTTGGTGTTGCCTCTCCCTTTTTTTAATCTCTTCCCAATAAGAAGGCTCTGATGGTGGCTGGGGTTTTCAGTGCTGTTTTGCTTCTCCTTTGGGTACCCTTAACTGGACCAATGCCCCAGGTGTTCTTCTATATCTCCCATCCCCTTTAGGGGCCATTGGTTTTCTTTCCCAGGCTTTCTTCCTTTCTCAACCTTTTTGGTTCACCCAAATAATCATAACCTGACATGGTTTCTCCCAACTCTGTAGGGCAGCTTGAAGTGTTAAACTTGGCAGGTCATGGGGGAAAATAAGGTGGTCCTCTGACAGAGGCTTCTGTGCCATGGTCTCCTCCTTCCTTACAGCTTTGTGTGTGTGCTTGTGTGCGCGCAGGGCAGCGATTTGGACATAGTAAAGTGGTTGCCTTATACAGCACATCTGGAGTATTGATTGATTGATTGATTGATTGATTGATTGATTGATTGATTGATTCATTCATTCATTCATTCATTCATTCATTCATTCATTCATTCATTGATACCCTGCACCATCTGGCAGGCTACTCTGGGTGGCTAACAACAACAAGGCAAACAACACAACATTAAAACACAATTATGAATAAAATAATACAAACATTCAACAGATACAATAACTAGTCGGATAAATTAAAACAGATGGCTACAAAGATGGTAGAAAGGATGATGAAAGGATGGCAAAAGGGATGATAAAAGGGAAGCAGATATATCAGCAAATTAATGCTCAGGGAAAGCCTGATGGAAGAGCCAAGTTGCAAAAGTAGGAAGCAGAGCAGAACCAGTGTGGTTGGAAATTTGGGGCAAGGATCAAAAATGAATTAGGAGAATGGCTCATAGGGTTCTGTTTATCTAATTCAAGCAACCAAACGGACAATTTTACATGTGGAAATAATCAGATGACCAATGTAGAAATCAGAGTATACAACTACAAGAAGGAGAAGCTATATCCTCCCTGCCAAAACAAGACTAGGGAGTGGATTTTGGTACTGATCATGAACTGTTTATATTCAACATCAGAGTAAAGCTGAAAAAGCACTAAATGAATCCTAGTGCCAAAATATAATGCAAACAACATATCTGATGGATTTTTAAATGTCTACATAAAGAACAGGTTTCCATTACTAAACCCAGGTCACAGTCACACCAGGGAGATGTTCCCCTGTTCTAACAATACTTTCTATACCTTTGTTGTACTGAATTGTGGTTATGTAGTATATATACCTGGATAAATGTCCCAATGGATTTTAACACTACCAATTCATTTTCATCTATTTGAATTGTTATGGCCAGCTACACTGTGGTACCAATTTATTTTCTCTCTTGTTTTCTGGGGTATAATAATTAACAATATCTCAATATGTCAGATAGTGGTTCCTGTCCAGTAAACTCTCATCTGTTGTGCCAGTGCCTTTGGAAAAACAACATTGCACTTATTGGACTCAGCATCACCATCCAGGGCTGTGTCACTTGTCAGACAGTAGGTGGATTGATGCAACATCTACCAATGCCGTGGCATACCTGGCCACTGACATACATTTGCGTGTGTATTGACATACTGGCTGCAAAAAGCTTTTAAAGAAAATTGTAGCAGTGCAGACACATGGTGGTAATGGTGGCCACTGTCTCCAATGACTTGGCTTCAGGGAAAAATTGATAAGGTCGTGCACAATATATTCCTTAGTTATGGATAAATAAGAAATATATTGAAATGCCATTAGATCTAAATAATGGAAACCTCCTGGCAAGGGAGAAATGAACTACAGTTACACTGCTGGCCAGGTAAATGATTGAATATATTGAAATGCCATTTGATCTAAATAATGGAAATCTCCTGGCAAGGGGGAAATGAACTGCAGTTACACTGGCCAGGTAAATGATTGATAATGCCCTGCTATAACTAGGAAACATTTGCCTTGTGTGATCATGCCTTCAGTTGACTGTGAAACAGAACAACTGTGTGTTGAAACTAGAGATATTACTACAGAAGACTGCAAAAAAACCAAAAAACACAACAATTTCTGTAGAAAAAAGGAAAGAAAAACCTAAATGAATAATGGAAAAACACCTAAAAAAACACATCATTAAGGATAAGTGAGAATCAAAAGTAAAAGGTGACAAAAATAGATTCAGAATCCTGAATGCAGCTTTTCAGCAACTCTCATTTAGAATCCTGAATGCAGCTTTTCAGCAACTCTCATGTAGACAGAAAAAGTACTAGTACAACGTCCAGTGCAAAAAACGGAAGAAAACAACAAAAAGTGAAAAGCAAGAGATCTCTTCCAGAAGATCCAAGAAACCAAAGGGAAATTTAAGCCTATATTAGGAATGCTGACAGGCCAACAGGGAAAGGCACTATCTCACTAGGATAAAATAAAGAGAAGGTGGCAACAGTATACTGAAGCCCTATACAGAAGACATGAAAATACAGTATGACAGGCTGCTTTAGAAAGAAATTTTATGATGAAGAACCTGCAATTCTAGAAGGTGAATTGAAAGCTGCTCTGAAGGGGAAGAAATAAATTACCAGGGGTAGATGGGATACCAGCAGAAGTATTTCAAGCCACAGAGAATCTCTCAGAATCCTAACAAGAATATGACAACAAATGCAGAAAACAAAACAATGGTGCACAGACTGAAAACATTCAATATACACTCCAATCCCCAAGAATGGAGATGCCAATGAATGTAGTAACTATGGGACCATTGCTTTAATTTCCCATGTGAGGAAACTGATGCTCAAGGTGTTGTAACAACAGCTTTGATCTTATATGGAGTGATAAGTGCTCAGTGTCTAACCTGGATTCCAAACAGGAAGGGAGGAAACTGATGCTCAAGGTATTGTAACAACAGCTTTTATCTTATATGGAGTGATAAGTGCTGAGTGTCTAACCTGGATTCCAAACAGGAAGGGTCATTGCCCCTCCCATCCCAAAAATAAAGAGGTGACACACAGGTTGTTGGGTTAAAACTTGGGCCACAACTTTATTAATTATTTGGGCTAGTCCTCCAACTACAAGGGGGCATGAACGTAGTGGGATATCCAACCACAGCTTTATTAATTATTTAGGCTAGTCCTCCAACAACAAGGGGGCATGAACGTAGTGGGATATCCTCCACAATCCAGAGTAGCCTAGACCTCCGGACCATTCATAGAGCAAGGTGAGCTCCTATTTCTCAATTGTGCTGGCCATTGTACAGCACGCCTTCAGGTGCTCTGTCCTAATGGTACCCCCACATTCTCAGCCCACCGACTCTCATGCCCTAAGTGGCCAGGAGTTTCCCTTATGGAAAAACCACCTCTCATCAGATGCCCAATTGGCTCCACCTGACAGAAAGATGGCATAATTCTTGCACCACATGTTCACCATGAACTCACCCCAACTCTTGTCTTTGCACTACCCGCAGCTGTGACCAAAATGATTTTAACTATAGCAAGTAAGTTTCATTAACCTTAGGTAAAGGTAAAGGTTCCCCTTGACATTTAATCCAGTTGTGTCCGACTCTACTCCCTGCTTCCAAGCCATAGAGACAGCATTTTGTCTGAAGACAGTTTCCGTGGTCACGTCGCCAGTGCGACTAGACACAGAACGTTGTTACTATCCCACCAAGGTGGTACCTATTTATCTACTTGCATTTTTACATGCTTTCAAACTGCTAGGTTGGCAGGAGCTGGGACAAGCAACAGGAGCTCACTCTGTCGCATGGATTTGATCTTATGACTGCTGGTCTTCTGACCTTGCAGCACAGAGGCTTCTGTGGTTTAACCCTCAGCACCACCACAACCTTACTTAACCTTACCCATCATGTAAGAATGGGATGGGCAAAAATGCAACCACATCCAACAGCCAATCTAAGATGCAGGCCAAAAATTTCTCATCCAGCTCCAACAGGCAACCAGGTAACCTCATCCTTACTTCAGGGTGGGTGGGAGGTATTGCTTGCAAAATGGCAAAGAGGGTGAGCCGGAGGGACCATGCCTTTT